TCGGTATCACTGTCATTGTTCATGGATCGTGCGGTATCACATCTCTCTCTCCCTATGGCACTCTCAGGCATAGGAAAAACGCTGAAAGAAAGGAGAGTGAGGGACAAATCGTAAGAATGAGATACACAGAGAGAGAAACAGAGAAAAGACAGAGGAAGAGAAGCGGGAGGAGAGAGAAAAATAAAAGATTAAGACAAACAGACAGCCTTGCCCAATTATAAACCCCAGACCAGCGAAAATCGACTGCACTTTCCAATTCTCTCTCTCTCTCTCTCTCTCTCTCTCTCTCTCTCTCTCTCTCTCTCTCTCTCTCTCTCTCTCTCTCCTCTCTCTCTCTCTCTCTCTCTCTCTCTCTCTCTCTCTCTCTCTCTCTCTCTCTCTATATATATATATATATATATATATATATATATATATATAAGTCATGACAATTAGCAGGAGACCAGGTAAAGTGGATATCAACATCAATGGATCCCAACTAAAACAAAGCAGAGAATTCAAATACTTGGGCAGCATTTTCACAGAAATGGAAAATTAGACCGAGAGAGAGAGAGACTAGATGCCAGAGAGCCAACGCAGTCAGCTACCAACTGGGCCCTCTCCTGAAACATCCCAATATCCCCATGAGCACCAAGGCGAAGCTCATCAACGCCATTTTCCTTCCAACGCTCACATATCAGTGCCAGACATGGACTCTAACAAAAGCCCTAGAGAGGAAACTGGTCACATGCGAGATGAAATGCTTAAGAAGAGCGGTCAACAAAACAAGAAGAGACCAAATTAAAAATGAAGTCATAAGGGACACCGTGGGAGCAACACCAGTCCTACCACACATTGAAAAACAAAAGGTCAAGTGGTTCGGACACCTCACGCGGATGCCCTCAAACCATCCATCTCTGAGAGCATACAACATTAAATATTCTGGATGGAGAGCCAGAGGAAGACCAAGGAGACGATGGAGTGAATCTGTGGCAGACACCCTTAAAGATCATGGGATGTCCCTCCTACAGGCCACACGACTTGCTGCAGACAGACACCTGTGTCTTCCCGCGACACCCCAGGGTACAAGCGGAAGAA